GAGAAGGGAAAGGTGATCAAGGTCCCTAAGGACTAAGTTATGACCCATGGCTGGGAAGTAGATAGACCACGAAAGTAGGACAGTGAAAGTGTGTTGCTGGCCTCGCCAGCTGAAAGCAAGCTGCTTCTGGTGGTTTTACTAAAAGGTATTGAGAACAAAGCATTTGTCAGATCGATAGCTGCATACCATGCACAAGGGGATATGATAGTTTTCTCAAGTTGACCATCATAGCTGGGAAGAGGTAGGGCATGTGTGTAAGGCCACAAGCACAGCAACCATAGACGTCAACATCCCTGTGTCCAGTTCCCTCTTCCATCTGAATGTCAAATCTTCTTGGATTCACAGCAAGGGATCCTCTGGGGGGTGTTTCACAGGTGGGTACTCTGTCCATCACTGAACGTAGCACTTACCAGTTCTGTTCTTTTCCCTCTTTCTTCTCGTCAGTGGTTCTCCCAGGCTGTGAGTTAGAATCACCTGCAGTGCCTTTTGAAGAAAAATATACATACTGTCCTTTAGAGATTGTAGTCGAGTTTTTTTTTTTTTTTTTTTTTTGCAGGGAGTGCATATCAGATTCTCTTTATAAGAGTTAAAGGTGAGGAGAGTCATGTGGCACTTAAACTCTGCAGTGAAGCTGTGATGTACATCTCATCCCTCTGAATACAGTAGTCATTTGGTGTCTATGGGATATTGGTTCCAGGACCCTTGGTCACCAAAATCTGGGGATGCTCCAGCCCCTTATGTAAATTGGCATAGTATTTGCACATAATCTATACACATGCTCCTGTATACTTTAACCATCTCTAGATTAATACCTAATACAATGTAAATGCTATGTAAATAGTTGTACTGTTTTGTTTTTATTGTTGTATTACAATTATTTTTCAAATATTTTTGATCTGAAGTTGATTGAATACCCAGATGGAGGGCTGACTGCATACATCTTCAGCCTAGATCTTCTTAAATTTTAGATCCATTCAGCCAACACTTGGCCATCTCCATGTTACTTTCTATAGAAACCTCAGGCCCAACATCTTCAAAGCTGCATTCACTGGCTTTTCCTCAAACCTGTTCTTTCTCTGAATTCCCTCTTAGTGAATGGAATCATCAACTAATCATCTGAGCCTTAAACTTGGGGTAATTTGGGGCTCCTCCAGCCTCCTTAACTTCCATATCCCACATCCCGTTACCAACTTGATAGATTGTAGCTCTGAAACTCATCTAGAACCTGTCCTCTTCGTATTGCCATAGTTACGTCTCACCCCTATTCTCGGCTACTGAAATAGTGTCCTAACTGGGCTATTGCATCGCCTCCAGTTGCACTTGTGCTCCATCTCCCTACGATCCATGTAATTATCTTCTCTGCTAAAAATATTTTAATAGCTCTCCATTCTCATGGGATCATGGCCCAGACTCCTTAGTTTGAGCTACATTTCCAGCATTGCCTCTTATTCTTTCATTTTTTTCTCCCCACCCTCAAACACATAAACAACCTGCATGGTAACTACGTGAAATAACAGTTCTTCTAACATGCCAGGCTACTTCACACCTCTTTGTCTCTGCCCATGCTGTTCTTTTGACTGGAATGCCTTCCTTACTCTAGTGATCCAGCCCACCTCCTGCCCCAGGAGCTGGCATCAATCATGTCTGCTTAGTAAAAACCTTTCAGGAACTCACGTAAATATAACTACTACTTTGAAGTCTTTCTTGGCCATGCCTTTTTTTCCCCCCTTTCCCCACCTTCAATCCAGGGCCACACTCAGAATAGACCACATCTTCTTTCATGGTTCCTCCTTACCTTAGAATTTAACAACATCATCTATAGTACCTCAATCACTTACATTTTTCATACCTTTACATTTATTTTAATAAACAGAGAATGCATGAATGTAATACCATTGCAAAAATGAAAAATAATACAGATAAACCAAAAGGCTCTCTTGGTCTAGCCCCCCTCCTCCAGCCCACCTTTTACAAGTTAGTCTGACTGTTTATTCACTAACACATCTTGGAAATATTTCCTTGTGAGTGCGTATAGACCCATCCCTGTAAAGAGTATAATTGCTGCAGAGTATTCCCTAGTATGGTATACCATAGTTTAATTTTTTTGTTTTGTTTTGAGACAGAGTCTCACTCTGTTGCCTAGGATAGAGTGCAGTGGCATCAGCCTAGCTCACAGCAACCTCAAACTCCTGGGCTCAAGTAATCCTTCTGCCTCAGCCTCCCAAGTTGTTGGGACTACAGGTATGTGCTACCATACCCAGCTAATTATTTTTTTCTATATATTTTTGTCCAGCTAATTTCTATTTTTAGAAAGAGACAGGGTCTTGTTCTTGCTCAGGCTGGTCTCAAACTCCTGAGCTCAAACCATCTTCCTGCCTCAGTCTCCCAGAGTGCTATGATTACAGGTGTGAGTCACCACATCTAGCCATATTTAACTTTTTATTGATGAATACTTTGGTTTTTTTCCCCCAACATTTTACAATAGAAGTGCCACAATGAATATCATGCCAAGTATTTATTTTCTACAGAGATGCCTAAAAGTAGAAACTCTGGATAGAAGGTATATTCTTTTAATTCTATATATTCTTGGAACATTTTTGTATTTGGTAGTTATTTTTTGTTGTATGCATTGGCTCTTTGTATATTCTGAAGAATCATCTTTAGTCTGATACACATATACACAAAAGTATGTATCTTTGTCTCATTTTGGTTTCTTGTTAAATTTGGTTTGTGTGTTATAAGAAATTTCACATTATGTAGTCAAATCTGTCACTGTTTTTGGTTTGTGTCCTTCTCAGGGAGACTGTCCGTATACCAATGTTTATACATTTTCTTTAATTTTTGACCTATAGTTTTTTTTTTTTTTTAGATGCTTATTACTTGGAATTTAGTTTTGCATATGTATTATGTAACTTTTTTTTCCCCAAAATAAATTTTCCAAAATCGAAAAATTGGTCCATTTATCCTCACCTCAAATTTAAATGCCAAAATGACATTTTTTTATTAACTAAATTTCTAAATATATTCATGGGGTTCTGTTTTTTGTACCTTGTATTAGATTATCTTGATCTTGTTGCTTATTTCTGGGTCAATACCATATTGTTTTAGTTATTGTAGCTTTATTCTATGTTTTGATATCTAATAATTTTTTAGCTGTCTTCTAGTAGATACTCGGTGGATAAGGCTGAGTCATTTATCTGAATTTCGAGATCATTTAGACAGTCTGCATCTGTGTGTATTAAATGATATAAATGAATCAGCCAAGAAGATATTGGTTCTGTTGGTGCCATACCTTATATTCTTAAGGTTTCAAAAAGATTGAGAAAAAAACCAACTTTTCCAGCTTTCACTCTATCTCCTATTGTACCTCAGCACTTGGAGTAAGTTCATAAAAATCTTATTTGGTTTTGAATAGGTAATGCATATATAGTGCACAAAGCTCAAAAGGTACAAAAGTGAAAAGTCAAGTCCCCTAGTTCTTAAGAGGTAACCATACTGCCAGTTTCTCCTTTAACCTGCTAGAATGGTAGCATACCATCCCTTCTGTTTTATACCTTGCTATTTTTATTTAACAATGTATCTTGGAAATCTTTCCATATCAGTATGTATACTATTTTATGAAATGGCCGTGCCATGATGGATTTAATCAGGATGGCAATTCAGTTGTTTTACTAAACACCTTTCATAACTTCTCACTTATCCAGAATAAAAGTTCTACACATGAAATTGGTGGGTCAAAGGGTACTTACATTTTCAGCTTTGATTTATAATGTTAAATTGCCCTCTACAAAGTTTTTCTAGAAACTTCATGAATGAAGACCCTAATATCACTTACCACCAGGCTTCAGACTTGCTCAGACATGCCCAAGTACCATGGAGAACACCCTAGAGGTTCTATCTGGGACCCATCTGATAGTGAAAATGTGCGTGCCATGTATAGGTAAGAAGTTCAAGGAAGACCCATAAGTCAGTTAATTAATTTGAGTCCTGTTTAAAGCTCTCATAATGAGTGGAAGCATTAGTGGTTTGAATAAAGCTCTTTTGCCTTTATTATTCATTAGAAACTGGCAGTAAATAATAGGTTTGAATTTCAGTCCCGATGCTGCTAATCAAAGCACAGAGCATTTAAGATCATAAATCATTATCTTTCACAACAGGAACACACAGGGAATTTGGTTTTATGAACTGCCAGCTGGGACACTCGCCTCTATTTGGGTCTCAGAGTGATCCAGAGGGAAGGAGTCCGGAACACTGTCTCACAGATGGGGTGAGACACACCTTCCTCAGTCTTATAGTATCTTACCTTCCTGGAGTCGGCTTGCATACGTGACCCAGCCCAGATTAAACAGCCCTTTATTATCCTGTTAGTAATGGCTCATGGTGTTAGAAGGCAAAGATTTTGTTTCTACGTAGGAAGAGGGTTCTGCCCGTGGGGCAGGAGGCTATTTTCGCTAAGGAGAGTTGGTGCCAGTTTTAGATTGCTTACTCTCCCTCACCCGATCTCACTCCCATCTGATGATATATCATTTCTCCCCTCTCCACTCCTGTCCCCCACTAATGTTTGCCTTTTTTGGGGTGGATCTTTCTCTGATGTCTTTCTCTACACAAAGAAAATGCCAAGTTTTCATATCTTCCTTTTGAATGATGGAGGCAAAAATAAGAAGAATCCTTATCTTTTGCCTTTCTCTCCTATATCTCCTCTCCTTATTTTTATAGCTGTGAATTCTAGTTGCCTTCAGTGGGAGAGGAGGAGGCTGTGCCCCTGTTTGACTCAAGTTTCCCTCCTGTGGGACATCTTCCCAGCCCAACACCATCTCTTCATTCCTTCCTTGACTTGTCGTGCCAGCCACCGTGGCTGTTCCTGGGCCCTAGGACCCTTGCATCTCCTTATGTCAGCTTTCAGTACCTCTTCATCCACCATTCTGAGTACAAGAGCTTAGAACTACCAATTACCTGGACACAGAAAATGCCTTTAAACAAAGCAATAGCCAACCCAATTATACTTTATAACAAAATTTTATTAGGATTAAGTCAAATTAGAAAACTTCATGCTTCACCACTTGCCATATTTACCTGAAATGACAAAATTACACTTAGTCGAATATAAAACAATGTGCCAAGATTCTACTATTTGGAAAGCAAGAAAATTGCGTATCGTAGTGTGCCTGACACCACCACGGTAAATGTTTAAGGCCTAATAAGTGATCAGCAAAGCGTTCGTTACTTTCAAGCTTTAGGCGTGAGGAAGATCTCATACCCCATCTCCCTCAAAAGCAGACTCGTCATAGCCTGCACACCTAAGACGGGAGCCTGCTTTTTGGAATAGCATATTAACATCTGTATTTATAAGAGAAGCTAGGCTTTTGAGGTATCTTATGGCTTAAAAGGCACAGGTCATGCAGCTGAATTACAAGCTATCATGTTGATCTCTGGAATGTATACCGTGAGCCACACCTCGTCCTGGGGAGTCCTCAGGCCCTGTCCTTGGCTCCTCAGCATGAACCATGCGTGGTCAGCCCTGCTCCTCCCACCCCTGATCTTGGCTGCTAATCAGCTGTGAGTGCTAGAAGGGGGTGTGGTGGGGATTTCAGGTTCCTGCACAGCCTCCTGCTATATGGAGGACAACACACACTATGGAATCTTATTACCCAGCATACAGGGGACCTGATATAGAGCCAAGAAGTGACTCCCATGTAAGCAAGGACAAGAGGCTCATTTTTCAGGTAAAACATGATATGGGGGGTGGAGTCTGTTTTCCCTGAAAGGAGTCCGACCGAACTGGAAAGTGGCATTGCATTTTGCAGCAGGACACACCCAGCTGTAAGCAACCCCTTGGACCAATGGGAGAAGTAGCATGGAAAGGATGCCAACAAGAACAGGAGGTTCCCCGACTTGGTGTGGGTTCTGAGGCCATCAACAGTGGGCACTGAACACTTCTCTGGGCTCTGCATGTAGCCCTGGGATCATTGAGAGAAAGTGGGTGTCACGTCTGAAACATAAAACTTATCACTAAGTAACTGGACGTTTCCTTCAGCTTGGGAGGAAAATGTTTAGTCTTTTAGAAACTCTTATTTTTGAACTTTCCCTAATAAAGGGAACAAAACCCAAAATCTAGGTGAAAGGCCTGGAGAGCTGCATGCAGAGCAGAAACCCCTGTAGACCCAGCACCACTGTCCCACCCTCCCAGCAGCTGGACTCCTGACTCCGCCACCCATGCCCCAGGCAATCCAGTAATAGAAATGGCGGCTTTCAAAAGATTAAACTCAGTTGCATAATATTGAGGGATGACAATAAATTCTCATTTCTTCAGGCACCAGAGGATATATGAGACAAGGCTTTGATTCTCTCCAATTTATGCTCCTAATATATTTCCAGCCTCTCCCGTGCACTGCCTCATCAGCTTGGCTTATGCTCCTCAGTGAGCCTTGCATTACTTGTGATTACATCTGTACTCTTGGTGCCAATTAATTCAACTGGGATTGACCTGGAGTTTGCTCAAGCTTGAGTTCATAGCTTCCTAGGCCAAGGTCTCCCTCATAAATGTTTTCTTTCCTTGGAGCCTGGGGCGAAGCTTTCTGGTCCAGATCCAGCCTTGCAGGAGGACTGCAGGGTGAGGGGGCTTGCTCCTGGTAATTGATGGTCAGTTCGTCCTGGTTGACAATGCATTGCACATCATCCCCTTTTAGCTCTTCCTAGTTTTGGAAAGAGAGAGAAGTCACTTCATGATAGACGCAGAAAACAATAGCAGTCCTACAATGTAAGAGAACTAGGATATTTCCCTTTTTGTACCTATCCTGTTTTGCCTTAGCTGAAGTTTCCTTGAGTCAACGCTGAAGACTTGACACTATACATAGCCATAGGGGTTTCTAGCCCTAAGGTCTAAGGTAAGAGGCATTAGAGAACACATGCTAAGTGCCTCCTTGGCTTTAGACAGTAAAATGGAATTTGGCTATTTCTTCCACTGGGACTAGGGCTGAGAGGAATTAGGAGGGATTCTTCATGTTCGTTTTGTAACACTCTAGCCTATCACAAAATTCTCAAAACAGTTTCTGTTATATTTCACTTCAAAAGTGTGTCCTCTCAGCATGTTTCTTGGGAGATGAGTGTCACAGGGCTAGAAATGGTTGGAAGCCACTATAGTGGATAATGCTAGAAACTAACTAGATTTGGCCAATAATAGTTTTCCTCATACAGAGGTTCCCTTGAAAGAAAGAATTGAGATCTCAACTCTTCTTCCCTTGGGTTTGGGAAGGCCACTCTAAGTTACCTGCAGAATGGACCCCGGCTAGGTGACCCTGCAGTAGCGGCCGAGGTGCCCAGCCTTGGCTGCACCAGGAGCCTGTGGGGGCCTTGTTAAACACAGCCGGAAAAGCTCAGTCTAGGGTGGGGCCTGAGAAGATGCATTTCTAACAAGTCCCCAGGGAATGCAGAGGCTGCCGGTCTGGAGACCACACTGAGAACCACTGCCTTAGGCTGCTATGCCCCGAACATGTCTGTGATGAGTTTTGTGTGTTTATGTAAGGGGTGGCCAGCTGGACAACCTCTAAGGGTACTTCCAACTCTAAGACTCTTGCTCTTCTCCAAATTCCTGACACTCTGATTTGTTGCTAATGATTCTTATTGCTTCTCACCACGTTTTTTTTGTTTCATCCCTTGAGCCATAAAGCATAGGCCTAATATTCAAAATCTCAAAACACAGCAGTTTGTGAGGACACATGACTACTTTTACATGTTCTAAGGTCATTTTATGGTTAAAAATGTTTAACGATAAAGATTGCATGTTTAAAAGAATAAGCCAACATCAGCAACAACTGACAAGAGAAATGCTTCTTGGTACAGTGAATTTTTAAAATGCTTTCCTCTTCAAGCCTGGCAGTAATAGGTTTGAGCTTTCTGGGCTCATCAATATTCACCAAGCCTGTCCCACGTGGGATATTTACTCACCCCATAGGCCTGAGGACTAGTGAGCAGCCTGGAAATTGGACCACACCATTCAGGTAATGTTGTGGTCAGTGGAGGACCGGAGTGGGTTAAAATCGGTTTCAGGTATCTGGGAGGCCTGTTAAGGAATACTTGTCAAAATGAAGTTAGGATTTAGGAATGGCACACAGCACAAACCTTTGCATGTTGCGGAAGAGACGGTTATGTTCACTTTTAAATCCCCTACTCCTTCATTTAAGAAGCAACTTGCCTTGCAAAAATTGCTGTTTATAATCTTTGCTACACACACTTCCAGCTCTTCTGATTTAGCCTTTAATCATGAAGAAATGGTGAATGGACCACACCATTTCAGGTGTAAATGTCCTCTTCCCATCCCCCACTCAATGTCTCATCTGTTTAGAGAATGCATCCATAAGAATTACGTTAAACAATTGCATAAAAGATTGTTTTTTGAAACTGCACATACAGCTTAAACCACTAGTAATTTGCACAAAGGAGGTATTTCATAAAATGTTCAGTTATTTTAGAGCTGGGTGGTGAACACAGATTGTTTTCCAAAATACTTTATTTTCACTATTCAACACAGTCACTTTATACTTCATACTTCAATGAATTTCTATACAAAATTATGTAAATAAGCTGGTGCCAGGTTTATTCTATTGTCTAGCACCTGTCTTTCTCATCTCTTCATCCCAAAGTACTCTAACAAGTTAAAAGAAAAACCTGTTCATCTAAAGCCATTATGTTTCCCTCCAATCTATCAATAATGAAATCCCTAGAGGCTGCCTCAGGTTGTCTCATTTTTTTTCTTTTTTTCTCAAAAAGAAAAGTAGTGGAATTATTTCACCATTCCATCACAAATGACTTTTAAGCTTTATATTATTTCCTCTGCTGGAGAATATTTCACCTCATCAAATTTCTGAAAAGCTATAATAAATAGGGAAAGGGGGAAAAAATGAAAGCAGTTAACATTGGTTGGCTTGTGGAGATCTACAGCTGCCCCCAGGGACTCAGGCTGTGGGAGTCTACGGGAGCCTGTCTGTAGCTGGACAGTTCCCCTGTCATTCCCATGGTGCCCTGAGTGGCCACAGAAGGAAGATGCAGCCCGGAGAAGTCCAGGAATGTTGTTGCCTCCGGCTAGAATCATTCACCACCAAAGCAGTCACGGATCGGGATATGCGCGAACGTAGCCTAGTTATGCTAGGGCAGGGACTGGGCAGCTGCTTAGGAGGGTCTGCACTTCCAACTGCAAATGGAAAAGTTGATTCTTCCTTTCAGATGGGCAGCTGTTGTGCTCAGCTAGGGACCAGGGAAGATATTACAGTTCAGAGCCTGGCATTTGCTGTAGCATCTTGTAAATGTATCTACTAATCTGAAGAGCACTTGGTCTTCCATTCATTTTCATTAGAATGTTATTTCCTTCATTTTATGGATGAAGGAATGGAGGCTTAAAGATATGATTTCAAATATTCCTTTGCTATTTGAACCCACCCACATCCCCCTTAGAAGAAGATAATTTATCAGGGCAGAATCATACATTGCAACTAGCTGGGTTCTCTAGATATTACAAAAGCACACAGATCTCATCCCTTCGGGCGAGCTGTGGCCTCTTTCAGGCTGGGGCCAGTGAAGACATGAGATCTGGTTAGGGTGTGTGGTATGCAAAGGTCATGAAGATGTTTTTGAGGGAGGTAAGGTAGATATATGTACAACTGGAGTGTAAATCAAGGAAAATCTGCCAACTTTATTTCCATAAGAAAAGATGACAGCAAGTAAACAAGTTTCAGATATGTCATGTTAACAAAAAAATTTGTCAAACCTCAAGAGTTTGAGAGAGGCCTGGGCAACTTCCATTGCGGCTTTCAGAATATTGAAAAACATGCCAAAACATTATACAATTCTAAACTTGTATTTTACTTTCATAATGAGTTTTTTTTTTTCCTTAACCCTGAGGCAATCTCTTTAGATCTATGTACAGCACTCCCTCTTTGTGGTTTCGCTTTTCATGGTTTTAGTTATCTGGTCAACTACAGTCTGAAAATATTAAATGGAAAGTTCCAGAAATAACTCATAAGTTATAAATTGTGCGCTCTTCTGAATAGCATGATAAAAGTTCATGTTATATCCACTCTGTCCCTCCTGGGATGTGAGTTATCCCTTTGTTCAATGTATCCATGCTGTAGGTGCCACCTGCCCATTAGTCACTTAGTAGCTGTCTTGGTCATCAGATCAAAACAACGTAGTGTATATAGGGCTCGGTGCTATCTGAGGTTTCAGGCACCCACTGGGAGTCTTGGAACATACTCCCTGTGGATAAGGGGAGCTATTGTATAATGCTATTGGAACAAACACTTAAAGGCTAAATGTGTAGCTTTTTGTGAACGTGAGAGCAAAACCAAACAGGGGACTCCTTAGGCCCCTCTGGATAGGCTCTAGGACTTTGACTCGGTGATCTCGACATAAACACCAGCTCTGCCACTTTACTGACCATATGACCAGCGATCTAGTCATTTACCCTCTCAGCCTCCAGCTTTGTTGTGAATATTGACCGAAATAGCATATGTACAAGTGGTTTTAAACTTTGACGTGGTATCCAAATGCTACTTATTTTTATCTTTAAAATTTAGTTTCCTAGTAATGTTATCTAGAGAAACTGGTGTCTCAATCACTGTTCCAATAATGGTGGGGAAATGATACTGGGGGTGGAAACGAGTGTGGCACACCAGGGATTGGTGTAGCGTTTGGGATTCACAGGCTATTAAGTGGATGGAAACCTTAAGCCAGTCCTAGACCCCAAACAGAAACTTTTGTTAAAAATTGTTGTATGGGGAGCTAGCGTGAGGTTAGGAGTAGACCTTGTTAGATGTAAGACTTCTGGGAATCACTTGATGCCGTTTTGCTTCTCCTGGTATCTCAGCAGCTTTGAGTTGGAGAAATGAGGCATGCCTTCTGTGGCCATGAATGGTATACGAAGCACCGTCCACAGCCACAGAAGGTGGGAAATGGAGTCTGTGTTCTCCAACATCTTGGTTTGCCCAGTGCTTGCCAGATATGTGTTCAATGGATGTTTGTTGAATTTATGGTATAGGAAAACATTTAGGGGTAAGATCAGGGATGGAAGGAGATTCTGAGTAACCATGCCAGAGAAGAATGAAGGAGGCAGATTTCAGCCAAGAAATAGGTTTTTCTAAGGATAAAGGGCTAAAGAGAGGTCAAACTGAAGATGTACCACTTGGGCCTAAGTTATTAGACAAAGGAGATCACAAGAAGAGTGGTAATGGGGTAAATAAGGTGGCTAAAATATAGTCTTTGTGTTTCATTCATTTGTTTCTTTGTACACTCACATGTTTTTGTTTTGTGTGCCAAACTAGTGAGGAACAGGCCCGAAGCACCCACACAAGGAAGGTAACAATTACATTACAGAATGGAAAACTCCCTTTTGCAGACTCCTTAAGGACAAGGCTATCTTCTTCCCCTGGGTACAGTGCTTGGCCCTTTTAGATGCTCAAGAAAAGAGTTGAATTAATGACAACAGACTCAGAAAGGGTAAATAAGAAGTTGCTCAATGGAACCCATCAATTATTCTATGTCAGAGTTGGGCCTGAAACCAGAGACTTCTACCACACTGAGATGTCTTCTTTCTGTTATTGACACTGAGTAATGGGACTTGCCTAATTGGATATCTGATTTGGAATCAAGGAATTAGTGACTTTCTGAGTTCTTCATTGCTGAGCAATGCCTGGAAAGTAGCTGGATCTCCAAGGTTATCTGAATTATTAAAAAGTAAGAAAATTCTTTTGATCTGCGCAAACAACAACAACAACAAAAAACCCAACTGCAGATTTTGCAAACTGTTATTTTTCTCATCAGGTTCTCATATATGTTTGGGGAGGGAGATTCCCCATTGGATATATTTAGTATGACTAGTTTTGTTTCTCTAATAAGCTAGAAATGCACTGAAACAAAATGTGAAGATCTGGGAAGAAAAAAAAAATGATGCCTTTTCTCCTCTATAAAGAGCATAAGTTTGGAAATAGCAGTTTGGTTCAGGAGATGTAAGTAAAAGCTGGAACTTTACCCAGAATTTAGCATGTGTGAAATAGAAAAGACAATTAGCAAATGTATTTTTTCTCTTTTGGTCTGAGCCATCAGCAGGTCCAGAGCTAAATTCAATGCTTAAGTGAACATCCAAAATACCTGGTAACATTGATATCTCTTCCATTAGTTATTTTGATTATTTGAAATCATGTTTTCTCCATTATAAGTTACAAAAACTAATGGGTGCATAGCTTGTTCAAGCCTATGCCTTGTATGAAGTGGTTTTGCATAAGTTGGTGAGAAGCAAAAACCCCAAGAAAAGATCCAACTTCACAAATGAACACTTGCCCCTTGAGGGGACTAAATACCATTGCCCCCTGTATGGGCTGAATGTTTGTGTCTCCCTCACCCCCAAATTCATATGTTGAAGCCCTAGCCCCCAATGTGGTGATATTTAAACATGGGGCCTTTGGGAGGCAATTAAGGTTAGATGAGGTCATCAGGATGGGGACGTTATGAATGGGATTAGTGCCCTTATTATAAGAGACATTGGAATTTCCATGCTTGTGTTCTCCTTCCTGCTCCCCCCACCCTCACCTTACAAAAGAAGAGGTCACGTGAGGGCATAGTAAGAAGGTGACCATCTGTAAGCCAGGAAGAGAGCCCTCACCAAAACCTGACCATTCTGGTGCCATTTCTTGGATTTTCTGCCTATGGAACTGTTATAAACAACAGAAATCTGTTTTCTGTCACCTAATCTATGGTATTTTATTATTGCAGCCAAGCAGACTAAGATATCCCTTTTCCCTGGCCACCTTTAATCTTGATTTGAGATCTCCATGGAGCTGTGTTATATCCTGGCTTTCTCTAAGTTTGTCTTATCATAAAAACCATCTAGGACATTCATTAAAAATTCAGATTTTAAATAACTCCCCTGAATATCCTGATGCAGCAAATCTGGGAAGTGGCCTTTGAGTCTGTATTTTTAATAAGCACCCAGGTGACTGATCAGGTAAGTTTGAAACAGTGGTCTCTCTCTGGAGTGTTGCTCTGTCTGAGAGTCAAATCTTA